AAGTGCCTTTAGACAAGCCCCAAGAATACCGTTTCAGACCCTGCCGGAGACCCGAGAGTCACCGTTTGGTTGAAAAATAAAAGGGCTCCTGAACGCAGAGGTGCTGGACTACGGCATCTGTGGTACAGCCATGGCCACAGAGAGACACACACCCAGCTGTGGTGCAGTGGTTAAATTGCTGTACTGCAGCCAAAACTGTGCTCATGACCTGGGGATGAATCCCAGGTAGCGGCTCAAGGTTGACTCAGCCTTCTATCCTTCCGAGGTCAATAAAATGAGGACCCAGCTTGCTGGGTGGTGGTGGGGGGCAATGTGTAGCCTGCGTAATTAACTTGTAAACCGCCCAGAGAGTGCTTGAAGCGCTATGGGGGGCGGTATATAAGCAGCACGCTTTGCTTTTTTGCTTTGCAGCTGTGTTCGTGTTACCGCCGGTTTTTGCAACTTGTTGAGGTCAGGGAGACATATTTTTCCCATGTACAATATAAAGAATGTGTGTGTTACAAAAGCTCTTTCTACTCTAGGGGTGGGCAATTAATTTCTATAGGGGGCCACATGAAAAATATGAACTGTGTTTGGGGGTGGGTAGTAATAGGCCCCCACTGTGTGAGGCCCTGCGGTGAAGGAACTACAAGGCTGACATAGTTAACTCCCTAAACACTGACCAACTCACCTGTCCTCTGTTCCCCCTTGGCTGTCCTCTCTGACTGTCTTCTATCTCGCACAGCTGTGGGCTGGCCTGGATCACCCTGGGGCCGTTCTGTCCTGCACCGCAGGGAGGAGGTGTCCTCGGGGGAGTCAAAGCTGGCAAAGGGGGCCCTGCCATTCTTTAACAGGGCTTATCTCTATGTGGCAGGAGTTCTTGGCCCTCTTGTTTCAGAAACCCAGAGGGAGCTTTCAATCCCTTCTGGTTTCACTGGAAGGAACAGGGCCAGCTGATGGCATGTCCAGGAGGGTGGTGGAAGTGGGAGGTTGCCCCTGCCCCCCCGCCCGAGATGGCCCTCCCCGGTGCAAACCCTAGCGCAGGTGGTCGGAGCTATGAACATTCCCCATCTGTTGCCCTGTTGATGCCTGGGGTGGGCTCCAGACTATTTCCACAGCCCCTGGGACTGTTTCCCCCTGGACAGCTTTGGGGAAGCGAAGAGGCCCACCTCGCCGCCTTCTCCTGGCAGTCACTGTTGAAGCCGTCCTCTGCCCACAGCGGGTGTTTCTTTCTCCAGATAGACCGGATGGCTCGGAAGCTGACCTGCACTCTTTTTGAAAAGCCTTCCCAGGCTTTTAATGTCCAGACACAGGCCCCACTTAAGGTACTCTCAAAACAGGGCCATGGGGAAATCTTTCATGCCACATGTGGGAACTCGGTCTAAATCAATACTATAACCTGCATGTTTTCTACGGTCTGCCGTTTGCGCCGTTCCCATGCCTTCTTCATAAGCACACGATCCAAATAAAGCACAGGCTAAATTCACCCTATCCCATCTCTTACCTAATACCAAGATCTATAAGATTAAGCCATTCTTTAAAAAAAGAAAGAAAGAAAGGAAAAAAGAGAGGGTTTTAATTTGCTGCTCTCATGGAGTAACAAAAACATCAGCAGCGTAATCCTGCTATTTCCAGATGCCATGCCAATAGGAAGCATCTACACCAGAGATAAAAGGTACATCCTTCCTGGGGCCGGCTTGCTAAGCCAGGCACCACCAATAGAGGATCCCTTGAACCCCTTTTATCTGCTCATAAAATGAGGCGTGAAAAGGAGGAAATATTGATCTCTTTTTTAAATTGGATTCATATCTGCCCCATTAGTGCACACACACTACTCTGGGCAGTTTACCAGTGTAAAAGAAATGCCGTCTCAGTCTGCTGTAGCAGAAAACGGGGCATGAGCAAGCCACGTGGGGGTTCTGTGTGCCCTCGGCGAATCCTAGAACCTGCTTTTGTTGAATGCTGGAACCCTCAAGGCAGGCTTCTGAAGGGGGCCTCAAGGTCTGGGCCACGACCTGTGGGAAGGCCAACGGAGCGCCCGTTGGGGGGGGGCTGAGGGAGGTTCAAGGCAAGCATCCCGAGCAGAGTCTAGAGCCAGCCTGGAGGTCCTTGGGGATGGCAGAACTCCCAGCTGGCCGTCTTACAGCTGTACCCCAGGCTAGGGGACGTTTCTGGACCACTTTCTAAGGCTGCCCTGCCTATAGGGCACTGTGGGGACCCCCATGGGAGACCGCCAGGGATGGCAGGCTGTATGACGATGGCAGGGGAGGACCTGTGGAACTTGGGCCGGCGAGAGCGTCACTGGCCTCACATGGGCTGCCAGCTTTGCCTACACGGGCCCGAAGGCATTTTCCTGGCGGGGGGTGGGTTTCCCTGTGTTCCCCCCACCTCCGCTCCACCTCATCCCACCCTCCCGAGCACTGCTGGATGATGGTTGGGCGATGGCCGGGAGCCAAGCGGTGGGAGGCGGCCGTGGGTGTTCCGCGGCAGCCACGCTTCCCTTGCAAGGAGCTTGGCTGCCAGCTTTGCCTACATGGGCCCGAAGGCATTTTCCTGGCGGGGGGTGGGTTTCCCTGTGTTCCCCCCACCTCCGCTCCACCTCATCCCACCCTCCCGAGCACTGCTGGATGATGGTTGGGCGATGGCCGGGAGCCAAGCGGTGGGAGGCGGCCGTGGGTGTTCCGCGGCAGCCACGCTTCCCTTGCAAGGAGCTTTGCGCGCACCGGCTGAGGGCTGACTCATGGGCTGCGCACATAGTTTTGTTTAACTGAGCCTTCGTTTGTTTGCTCTTCCAGCGAGAGGCAATGCAAAGCAAACGGCAGTAAAAAAAGCAAACAGGAACAGGTGGCCACGCAGATCAAACATGGCCAGCTCCAGCCTGCTCGGCAGCAGAAGGCGGTGCGGTTCCTATCGGTGCCGGGAAGGGATGGAGCTGCAGCCGCCCCACCTGGACGAAGGCGGGCCCTTCACCGGTCCAGCCCCTGCCTGTTTGAAACCAGGCTTCTTTGCTGCAGGGGAAACGCACAAGCCTGTGGGGAGAAAGCCGTGGGTCACGCCGGTCACCCCGAGAACAACAGCAGTGATGCCAATGTTGTTGCTGTTGATGGTGGTGGTTGAAATCCTGTTGCTTAAACATAGGAAGTTGCACCAGAGTAGGCCCATTGAATCAGTGGGGTTTGGGTAAGTCAACCCCCCTGTATGTTCCATAGATTCAAAGGGGCCTATTCGCTGCGCCTTGCTTTGCTAAGCAGCAGGATTTCAGCCGAGGGCGACATCAAGGGTGGCTGTTGCACCACCGCCCGGTCCCTTCAGAAGGAACTTCTGAGTTGGGCTGGAGAAGGGCCCCCCTGATGAAGAAGCTTGTTCTCTCGCTAACGGCCCTCCCCTCTTCCTTTTCCTTTCCGTATGGAATTGCCCAGCCACCAGCAAGAGGGGATTTTCCAGCAGGCCCAGATGGGGGACACCCTCTTCCACTGGCCACCCTTCCAGGAGTTTTCCCCACGGCTCTTCTGCCTGCCTTGCTCCTTCCCAGATTTGGTGTGGGGGGGTGGGGTGGGCTCCACAAGATTCCATGCGGCTGTTCCTCCTTGTTGAAGGGCAAAAAAGGATCTGTGAAGAGAAGGGAGGGTCCTTGCACGAAGCCCCTGCAAAATGCAGTGAAGAAGACCCAGGGACAGATGGAGCCAAGTCCCCTCGGGGACCCTCAAAGCATCTGCTAGGAAGGAGAGATGGGAGAGATGCACCGTGCTTTGGGAGTGGGGACACCCGGAGGAGCCCCTCGGTGGAGAAGCACCCAGCAAGCTGCACCCCGTAGAAGGGATGACCTCCGGAAGGCGGTGGAACTGAGAGAAGGGCCTCCCTAGGAGGTTTCTAGAGCTGAGAAACCTCGTGAGCAATGCCGATGCTGTCCTTCAGATCGCCTGGGCCCAAGCTTTCTCGTGATGGGTCGGTCCAAAGTAGGGCAGCCTCAGTTTCATCATTTTTACTCCAGAGAGAGTGCAGGCTGGATTTGATCTCAGACCCACTTCTTCATCTTTCTGACAGTCCCGGGTATCTGTATCTGCAAAACTCTCCTCCAGCACCATCTTTCAAATGAGTCAAATTTCCTTCCTGTCAGCTTTCTTCATTGTCTAGCTTTCGCACACGTACACGAGATGATTGGGAATACAGCAGCATGGATGATGATTTTCGCCTCCAGGGAGACCTCCTTACACCTGAGGATCTGTTCTAATTCCTCCGTTGCTGCCTTTAATGAGTCGCAGCCCTCTTTTGAGGTCTTCTTGGCTGCAGCCTCCCTTTGCATTGACAGTTGAGCCAAAGTATTAAAAAAATCTCCATTTCAATTTCTTCAGAGTCAACATGGAAATTGTGCATTTCTTCTGTAGGGATGCTTTCGGTCATCTTAATGTTCAGCTGCCGTCCTGCTTTGGCACTTTCGTCTTTCACGTTCCTCAGCATTCAGGTCAAGCCACCCTTACGCTCTGGCAGCAACGTGGTGGCATCAGCATATCTTAGACCTCTGAGCAGAAAGAGCAAGGAAAAGACTATGTGGTCCTCAAGATTACACAAAGGTAAGAGCCAGCGATGACTTTTATTGGACGACGAAAAGAACCAAAGAACGTGCAAGCTTTGGTGGAGAAGATTCCACTTTGCCAAGCGGGGCACACACACACCGGAATGGATAGCACAAAAAATAACTGTAGCCGAGAGTGCCCAAGCGGATGGCAGTTGTTGTCTGTGAGAAGTGACCTCAGGTGACTCTGGTTTCAAAAGTCCTCTATCTGGGGATTGGGCCCCCAAGCACCATTCCTTGAAGCAGGGCTGGGAGTTTTGCACCCGCTCCTATGACTAAAAAGTCTCCATCACTTGGAGATGCCCCCCCCCGACACCCCCACCACCACTCATGCTGCCTGCTTCCAAACACAAAGTTGCTGCTCAGAGTAGACCTCTGGTCTAGATGGGCGAGGTAGAAATCTAATACAGTACAATAAAATAAAAGAAAGTTCCTTGGGTGTTTCTCTACTGAGGGAGACCCTCCTAAAGGAAGCCACATCCTTGGCGGTGCAGGATCCGGGCAGGAGGACCTTGCAGGAGCCCATGACCCCCCCTAGGGCGGACCGAACTGGGAAGCCCATGGGGTGAGAGAGTGCCAGAGCCAGCGAAGCGCCAGGCGGGTCCAGCAAAAGGAAAGAGGACCCCTGCCCACGCGCAGAGTGCCGGCCTCGCTCCCGGGCAGCTCAGGGCGCCCCCTTCAGGGCTCCTGCGGCAAGCGCCGTCCCGGGGTCTCCTAAGCCCGCGGCGAGCAGGAGGGCGGGGCGGGGCGGTGCTAGGGAGGGGCGTGGCCGCAGGTGCGGTCCGCCAGCCCCGCCCACCCGTGCGGACGGGATTGGCT